GAGTGTAGCTTTTGGATAGAGAGAAGCATTTTTCTATATCCATATCCATTTCTCAAGGGCCGGGGCTTCAGAAAAAAGCTCATGTTCTGGACAGTAGCTATACTTAATTCCACCCCTGTATTATTTATAAAAATTCTTGGTTTTTTTTGAGGACCCATGCATGTTCTCAATTTAAATGAGTGGGCTAACTATAACCTACACATTTAGTGCCTTTGAAGTTTAGACAGAACTTTCCGTGGCTTTATGTAGACATACAATGCTGAATGGAAAGGTGAAGGCTGAGACCATTGCTTGGCTGTCTATACTGTAATAACACCCATGAGATGTTCTGCGGGCTACTTATTATATCTAGCTTGCTGTGTTCAGGAACTAGAGAAATAATCATTGGTGGTGTCAGAGACATACAGGCTGACTCTTACAAATTCTTTAGGTTCCAAAGCATTAACATTAACCAAAAACTAACTCTGAAAGAAGCCTTTTCTCCAGGATACAGGTACTTAGTAAATGGCTACATTTACTTCTTTAAAGCTGAATAGGAACAAAGAATTTTGCTATGCACTTGGTACATTATCATACAGCCCTTTCTAAGTGGTATTAGACCTCTTAATTGTATTTAAGAGACTGAGTCTTTGAAGTTACTCAGGAATGGAAACTGGGAAGAGATGATGTCTTAAGAGTAGAGACTCAGACACTACACTCTCACAGTGTTACCTAGGTCAGGTTGACCTTAGTTGGCTGCCTGCCTGAGTTGGTTGGGAATAGTTAGCTACTACTTCACAATCCATGCTGGTCCCAACTGCTCTAGCATGACTTTGGCTGTGTCTGAGCAATCATCCTGCCCATTTGGCTTGCAGTGTAACTGGCAGGTGTCTGCCGCCTTGGGTCTCATTCTCTTCACTGGAGTCCGGAAGCTCGTGGTGGCAGAGGTGCTCCCAAGTGCTCCCCTATTACACGGTACATTTATAACAGTCCTTTCCAAATACGCTTCTTCTCCTCCTCTGCCAGTTGTGTTTCTCAAAGCCGAGGTGGAGGGAACAATCCCTGGATTCCCTGGGTGACAAAGTCGAGGTGGGTAAGCAGGTTGCAAGTGCTAAATAAACAAGTCCCTCTATCCTGAGTGTTGAATTTCTTCCTCCACATCACATGAGGAATTTCTGGTATCTCAACTTTGGTTTTTGGCCACATTTGAGTCCAAGTTTCGTCATGTACTTGAGCACATTATTTAGAGCGATCCCCAGCTGTTTGAGTTAGCATTGTGACTCAGAACTCTTCTAGGGGAGCTCAGTTCAGCCTGATTTCAATTATGATCACATTTGTCTCTGGTTTAACACCTCTAGAATCTTTTTGATCCCAAGATTTTCTCTCTATAAATTAAAACCTTTCAGTGCCTTCTATGTGTGAATTTATGTGTCTAGAGGCCGTGACCGATGGGATGAATGGTGCAGGCATCAGTCTTAGGTGAAGTAATGTTGATCCTGGAGAGAGAGGACTGCTGTCTGCTGGTATAGGGGCCAGACAAAGTTGGGAGTTTCTGTTCTTTAATCCAAAAGTCCTTGAGTCTGGTCTTCCATGATCATTGGCCTCTTCTGCTCCTGGCTGTGGTGGAGTAGCTGGTCTGTGGGTCACTCTCCTGCACTTCCTGTGCTGTGTATGAGTCTGCCCCAAACATAGTAGCTCAAACCACATAATTCCCCCTTTAAGTTGTTTGTGTCTCTTGTGTCTCTGTGTGACAGGAATCTGGGGAGAGCTTGGCTGGGCTTTGGGATTTCTCAGAAGTGACAGTTAGGTGGTGGTGAAGAGGGTGCTTCATGGGGCTTAGGACGCTCCCACCAACAGAAGTCCTCCACACTTAGGATAGCTTGAGGCCAGCTGGGATTCCTGTCCTCATCTCAAGGCTTCTCTAGGTGGCTTCTCCTCATGAGTCAGCTGAGGGACAGTGGGACTGCTTACATGGCAGCACAAGTCTTCGACCCAGTGTCTAGGAAAAGCTCTCCGTGTTGAAAATCACTCAGTGTTATTTTTACCATAGTCCCAAGCCCACCCACAACATTTGATAAAAAATTAAAAAAAACCCAAAAACAATGTATAGCTAAAAGTCCATTGAGAAAATGATAAAGTGAAATATATTTAATTAGCTCCAACTTTACACAGAACGAGTGCCTCAGTCTGCCCGAGCTGTGCTTCAGGAGTCCTGAGCTGGTAGGAGGCACTGGCCTGACAGCCACAAGGACAGTAAGCCCTCCGACATCATCAGAAATTCCCTGGTTCTCTACCTTGAGGATCGAAAACACCAAGGGCCATTTCCTTTCCTTAAGCTGTCTGAGTGGGTCTGGGAGCCGCTGATGTATCTCTCACTGTGTTCCTTCACGCTGCCCCGTCACTCGTCACAAAAAGCCCTGAGCTTGTGGGCACTTTAGTCTAGAATTCCTTCTTCAGTGGGTGTCATGGACTTGTTTGTTTCCTTCACAATCACAATCATGGCATCTTCCAACTCAACAGATAGATTCAGTCCCAGATTTCCAGCAGACAGTGCATGTAGTCATATCTGTACTGAGTGGTGACTGACATTTATTGCAGACCACAGAATCCACTGTAACTGGATAGAACAAAAAGGAATTTTAAGTGAGTCAGCTTTGGAATTTGTGGAATGGTGTGGTACAAAGTTTAAATGCCTTCCTGTCAAGAGAAATGCTTTGAACCATACTGTAAGCTTATTAGTGTGGCCACTATCGTATGACATTTTGGTTAACTGTTTGTCTTTATGGGTCACAGAATTTTGCTCAGATACATTAAAAACCATTATATTAAGAGGAAACTTGAATTCTAAAACATTGAATTATAAAACTTCATATTTGTTTTGGTTTTCGTGGACTTCTAACTATTTCCCCTTGGAAAGTGTTCATAGATTTTGATTCCATGTTCAGAGTCCACCTGACAGTCTGTATTACCTGTAGTGCATTGCAAATGCAAAAGTGCCAGCATCAGAGACACTTTGAAAAGTGCATTCCTTATTTAAAAGAGTTCACAAGAATTACATACCTTACAGATACATCTAACTTCAACTAATCTAATCTACAGACTTTCAGATTGTGGTATTGGAAACAGGAGAGCAGACGTGGGTGCGGTGAGTTGAGGATTGCTTGTAGTAATCAGCAGTCGCATGATCAGTCAGCCTTGTACTGTGGCCATCGATAATGATGCTCACACCTTAGCCTTGTGTTGAGGGTGATCTTTAAGTTGGTCTTTAAGCTGGATGACTGGACCTGCATGTGCCTGGTGTTGGTGTTACCAAGCAGACTGTCCTGGCTGGATGGGAGTCATGGGTAAACAAGAACTTGGGGTAAGTGCTGTTCTCAGTAGCTGTCGGATTGTAGCACACTTGACAGCCGTGATTAGGTAGCCAGGTGTGAGCAGCAGGAAGTTGGACCTGCTGGAGTTAACGGATCCAGCTGAAGTCTTGGGGATCAAGCCCCCTGGCTCTTCAGTGTTGGTCCAGTGTAAGTCAGGATTCCTTAGCCTTTGACAGCTCCAGCTCCAGGCCTTCTGAGCTTACAGTTAGGACTCTGAGATCCTTGGTTCTAAAGGACCAGCAGCTTCCTGGAGCCTGTCTAGTGACTAGTGCCTGCTCTTTCTCTTCTACCTCTTTCTAACCTGACTTCTACCTGGCTCTCTGCCCTTTTCTACCTCCATTGGTACTGTGATGTGATCTCTAGAACCATTTAACTCCTCCTTCAGATAGGCAGCCCCAGCCACCTTGCTGCTTTAATGTGGTGGCCTCCTGACTTCCCAGCTCTGCCTCCTGAGGTATCACACAGCTCCTTTCCTGCTGCTTTTGTGCTGACTGCCCAGCTGCCGCTGCCATGGTCCTCTGCCCCTCCTGCCATTGCCACTGTCTCTAGTCAGTGCACTTTTTTCTTCTTGTTACCAGTTCTGCCCACAGTACTAGAAGCAGGCAAGAAAGAAAGGACTTTGGGGTTTGTGTGTGTGTGTGTGTGTGTGTGTGTGTGTGTGTGTGAGAGAGAGAGAGAGAGAGAGAGAGAGAGAGAGAGAGAGAGAGAAGCTGGCAACACAGAGTATCTCTTAGCCCACTCTATAGTCAGAGAAGGGGTATTTGGACCAGTCACAGCACACCTCACAAACAAGTGAAGGCTTTTGTTTGCCCTAGTCACAGACCCCTGTGAGGCTATCTTGCGGGGGTTGGGGGGGTGGTTACGGTGATTACTTAGGGTTGAGGGGGGATGGTTCCAGTGATCACCAAGCCTTACAAAAGCTAAAAGTCCTGGCTGAGGCCATACTTCCAGAGGCAGAAAGTGAGTGTGATTGTTGTTCAGTTGTCTCAGGTGTCTTTGGAGTGTTCCAGATGGCATCGGGAGAGTCCAGTTTGGTAGATTACTCCCCTCACCCATCTCAGCTGATTTTCAGTGAAGTGGACATTAGGAACTCAAGGAAGATGTCACTGACACTAATGGTGACTTCAGCCGACTTACCAGGGCTTAGCACCTGCCCAGAAGAGGGAGAGATGGCTCTTCTTCTTCTCAGTGCAGTTTCATCTGTAGATGAGATGTGGCTTGGTTAAGTGGTAGATTTTTAGCAATGACTTTTAAATTCCATCTTTTTAAAATAAGATTTCAACAACTTAAATACAGAACACATAAAACCAAACAAAACCGTCTTCATGCTATGGGGCAAGTTGAGGTTAGAGACACTTCTTTAAGATCAGCAGTGGGACCAAGCGAAGCAGGGGACGCTGTGGAGTGGTGGAGTGGACGGCCTGCCAGGCAGGAGGCTCCCCAGGTCCTTAGAATAGTTCCTGCCTCTCCTACTTCCTTTTCTCTTAGGCCATATTTGTCTTCTCTTGGGCTTTTCTCAGGCAGCCTATGCTCTTGAATTTTGAAGCAAGTAATTTTGAAAATACACAGACTATGAAATAAAAGTACACATCCTACAAATACTAGTTAGTCACAGTTAAGTGATTTTGCTCTTTTTGTTGCTGCTCACAGGCAGAAGAAATCCTTAGGCAAGAACTGGAGAAAAAGGAAACACCAAGTTTATACTGCTTGCTTGGAGATGTCCTGCAAGATCACTCTTGCTATGACAAGGCCTGGGAGCTGTCACGACACCGCAGTGCACGTGCCCAGCGCTCCAAAGCTCTCCTCCACCTTCGGAATAAGGAGTTTCGGGAATGTGTGGAGTGCTTTGAACGCTCAGTGAAGATCAATCCCATGCAGGTAAGGCCTCATAAAGCCTTAGGGTCTTGGCTTGGGGTTTTCTTTTCATAAACACAGCAACATGTAGGATGGGTTATTGAGAAAATGTCTAGATTTATACACACACAAAAAAAACATTTAAGATATATTTTCTATATGTGTGTGTGCAGGTGCACGTGTAGGGTAGAGGACAGCTTCAGGTGTCAGCCCTCAGCAGCTGGCCCCCATGGTTTTCAGGATGATCTCTTGATGTCTCTCACTGATCCAGTGCTCACTAATCGACTGTGTTGACTGCAGTGAGCCTCGGGGATCCTGCTGTCTGGTCCCCAGTGTAGGCACTGAAAAAGCTTGCTACCATTTGGGCTTTTGTACATGCTGGGCATCAGAATCAGGCTGGTGTGTCCAACCCTTTGGTTCCTCAGGGTCACACTAGATGGAGAACTGTTTTACACACACATTAAATCCAAAAGCAGTAATGAAAATTGATGAGAAAAAGTCTGTATAGCTTTTTGATATTTGCTACTAAAGGTAAGCAAAAGGCCCTCACATAGTAATCCTGATCATGTGGTCAGCTTTCAGACAGTCTTCTTAGATTGTTGAGCAGGTCCTAAGTTTATGATCACTAATAAAGAAAATGAACCTGTCCAGTAACAAAAGTCACCATTTTTAAATTATAAATGTAATATATAATTATAAAAGTAACATAAAACTTTTTTTATTTGACATTGCATTTGAAAACTGGATGTATCAGTAGCTAGTTTAATGGGAGACACTGTGATTCTCAGTGAGCTCTCAGGTGCTCGTCAGAGAGCTCAGTTCTGATCATACTGTGAGTGTGCTTTGTTGAAAATAGTTGCTCACATGGGCTGGAGAGTTGGCTCAGCAGTTACGAGCACTGTCCTCTTGCCAAGGACTGGAGTTTGGTTCCTAGCAAGCATCTGGAACTCCAGTTCCTGGGGTTCTACCACCCTCTTCTGATCTCAGGCAACAGGCACACACATGGTGCATCTATATACATGTAGGCAAACACTTATACACATACATAGATCTAAAACATTTGTAAAGCAGTTGCTCACAGTTTTGGTGTTAGCAGAAAGTGAAGGCATGGGTAGTGAGGACATCTGTCATTGAACACAGGACCCAGACAGAGTCTGGGAAATCCGTGATCACAGTTTCCTTTCAGTTAAATGTAAGATTGCAGCTTTCTTCATCCCACTTGTAAATTAGCAGGGGACATAGACTGGTGTTACCTGAGAGTTGGAGTCGTGAATACCAAAACACTATCCTCATGGAAATCCTGAAATCTGTTTCTAAACTCTGTGTCAAATTGAGAAGCAAACCTACATATTTTGTTCATAGGCCAATATTTAGCCAATGTGAAGATGCATAAAATTGTTTGCCGTAATCTAAGTTTGCCATAATTGCAGCTCGACACATTGGTTTTAACCTTGAAGAAACATGTTTAACTCATTTAAGTGAGTGGTTAAATTCATTAAAAATGCTAAGTCTATAAGCCAGATTTTGTCATCAAGTCTTGGCACAACTTTTGTTTGATATAGTTATCAAAATAAGCAACATGATGAAGTGTTGAAAATCATAAAATCTTACTGATATTTGGACTTAGCCTTCTTACTCCTGAAAAGTAGTGACGTTGCCATCTGCCCCCCTCCCCTTTCCCTCCCCTCTCCTCCATTTCTTTTCCTTCTTCTCTCCTCTCCCTTCTCCTGCTCCCTCCCCTCCTCTACCCACCTCCTTTTAAAAAAAGAACCTGGATAGTTTTTAGGAATTTCTGTAATTGATGATTTAATATCTAGCTCCTTATGAAATTCAGTGTTGACAACAATTTGTGTGATGTCCCCATTTTTAATACTTTTGGTCATATGTTTTCTCGATGCACTGTACAGTGTGACATCACTGAACATGAGTTTTGAGTGGTGATTGTATCATCTTCCATTAATTTTATGAAACCTTGGTTTTTACCTACCATCTCCATCGCAGATTTAAATACTCTGTAGTTAATAACTGATGCTGGAAATATGGCAGCAGTTATTCCTTAACCAGCTAGTTCCCCAGACAACCACACAGAGACCTTTTAATATTCCAAACCTTAGGCCTTAACTGGGCAGACTCTCAACTAGTTCATCTAAGTTAACCTGACCATGTAGCCCCTTCTAGCCACGTGGCTAGCTAGACCTTCTAGGCCAATAGTCACTACTTTCTCCTCTGATGTCTCCTAGGGAAAAGCCTTCCTCTTTCTTCTTTTCAGAGTTCCTAGCTGGGCAGTGGTGGCACACACCTTTAATTCCAGCACTTGGGAGGCAGAGGCAGGTGGATTTCTGAGTTCCAGGACCAGCCAGGGCTATACAGAGAAACCCTGTCTTGAAAAACCAAAAAAAAAAAAAAAAAAAAAAATGCACAACAAAAGGTGGTGTATGTGAGAATTGGCTCATCTCGGAGAACCAGATCTTGAGGCACAGAATTTGGCACTTGAATATGTAGCAGCAACGGACTAGCTTCAACACACACGCTTATAGTGGACAAAGAAAATCACTTTAATAACATAATTTCTTTTAGTGCTTTGTGTACATTTCTTTAGCTGTGCCTTTAAATGGCATTAAAGAGGCCATCTCCTCAGTAGCTTTATACTCGTCATGGGTACAGGTGACAAGTGGAGCGATATTTATGGCGTGAGTGTTGCCATCCACCCAAAGCGGAAGAGTGTGCACACACTTGCTTTGTGTCACACTGCAGTGCAAGTTGGTGAGCTACAAAGTTCACACTCAAGAATGTTGTAATCAAGCTCCAAACACATTAAAAATAACAATATGTTGTAAGTAAGCATTTGATTTTTGTGTTGGGCTACCTTTATAGCCGTCCTGGAGCCCATACAGCTCATGGACTGCTGGTTGGGCACCCCTGAGTTAAAATTTGCTACTGATACTTTCAGGACTACTAGAAAGCAGATACCTCTTTAGGCATACTGCTGGTTTTGAAATCCAGATGATCTGACTGTGGAGCCAACAGTTTTTGTTCCTTAGCTGAGGTTAGGAAGTACATATGAAACATGTAATTTGCCATTTCTGAATGTGCAGTTCATTAATGTGAAGTAGGTTCATACTGTTGGACATTTTCATCTGTGAAACTGAAACTAAACGTGTTAGGCGAGTCCTTATTTCCCTTTCTTTAAACCCCTGGCAGCCTTATCTTTTCCTTTCTATGGACTCAGCTATTCTCATCTACAGACTTCATAAGAGCAGAGTCATACAGTCTTCTTCTTTTTCCTTATGTGTATGAGTGTCTGGCTTGCATGCGTGTAAGTATGCACCATGTACATAGTGCCTACAGAGACCAGAAGAGGACATCGGATCCCCTGGGACTGGGGTTACAGACATTTGTGAGCTACCCTGTGGATACTGGGAACCTAATCCTGGTCACCTCCCGGAGCAGCCGGTGTTCTTAACTTCTGAGCCATCTTTCCAGCCCTCAGTATTCATCCGTGATGACTGGTTTGTTCTTCTTAGTGTAGTGTCCTCTGGGCTCATCCATGCTGCAATAGCTATGCGAACTTCTCCTTATGAGATGATATCCCATTGTGCCACATTCTGTTCCCCTGCTCATTGGGTAGAGATGTGGATTGCTCCCATGTCTTGCCTGTTAGGAATAGTACTGAGATGACTTGAAAATGGGTGGGCAAAAAAGGTAGACCTGGTAGTCCTTTACACTGGAGCAGACATAATGCTTTTAAAAATTGGCTTTCAAGGAATCAGGTTTCATTAGAGTGTTCTTCAAACAAAATTTAAGGTAGGTGTGTGTGTCATATGTGTCCGTGTGTGTTGTAATGAGAATAACACTTAGTATCTTTCAAAGCTGGTGATGAGTAGCAGGACATTCACATACAGCGACTCTACTGCAGTTAGTGGGGACTACACGGCAGCAAAGATGCCTAATGTATAACTTTGGAGTTGGTTTTCATTGGCAGCAGTACTAACTCAGTGGTTCTTACTACCTGTGATTGTGTAACTTCTGGAGATAATTTTGACTTTCATAATGGGAAGCAAGAACATGTGCTATTGGCTTGTGAAAGGGAGAGATACCAGAGATGCTGGAAGACAAAAATCCCATGATGAAACATCTCAGTGCACAGCATGGCTGTCCTTTCCAGCTTTTCTGGCCTGGCGTGTCAGCAGCACAATGGTTAAAAAGCCATGCCCTAATTTAAATCGTCTCTCCTCCTCTCACATGCAAGAGAATAGAATGGGCTCAGCTTTGAGGAACAAGTCATACTGGAATAGGTTAAGGAGGAGCAGACTGCAGAGCTTTGGGAACAGAAGCTGAGTTGTGTGCTGAAGGGATGGAAGAGCTGGTAAACAGGCCAGTTTTTCAGAGCTGGAGAAAATAGGGCCTTTACAATGGGAATGCTAGATTGACCCAGGCTATCGAATATCTTAAATATGAGGCTACACTGACTGCCTTTTTTGTTCGGTTGTTCGGGAACCACTAAAGTTGATTTATGCCGTGCTTCCCCTTCAGTGCAAGAATGGGGTGTGCACAAAGGGACTCAGGACCATTGTTTTGTGCACACAGCTATGGGAGGGGGACACTAGATAGCCTGGGTGGGAAGCTAGTAACAAGCTACATTTTGCAGGGGAGTTATTAGTGCAGGAGGGATACTGTAACAAAAGGATGACTTGGGGGAAGTTGCAAGGGAAGACTTGACAGGCTTGATGGCTTTGTTATACAATTTAGAACTAATTACTGAGACAAAGAAGTGACAGTTGCTCAAAGCAGAGTCACAATACAGACAGATATTATGTGAGGATGCTGTGCAGCCTGCCATGTGTCTTTAATTCAGGCAGACTGAAACAAATGCCAAAATACACAGGCATTTGGTGCTCCAGTTGTACACCACTGCTACAAGCTATAACTCAGATGCTAGATGTAGTGACTTGTGACCCAAGTTGGCCAGCTCTGAAGAAAGAGCTGTCATTACACTGTGCTGTCTCCTTTAAGTGCAAGGAAGA